TCAGCTCGAAGCTTTCGCTGATGGTATCCAGCCAATGGATGTTGAGTATCTTGCATAGACAACTATTTATAAATATTTGCATCTTATTGATGATGGTTGTAGCAGTTCTCCAAATTTCAGCTCCGTACAGTAGAACTGCCTCGACGTTTGTATTGAGGATTCTGAATTTGATAGTGGTTGGCAGTTGTTTTGAGTGCCATATGTTCTTAAATTCTATGAATGCGGCGCTTGCTTTGCCAATCCTCGCCTTTACGTCTGCGTCCTATCGTTCTTGTTCATCGATTATGCTTCCCATGTACGTGAAAGATTCCACACCTTCCAGATTTTCACCATCAAGTGTGATTGGATTGTTGATCTCCGTGTTGTATTTGAGGATCCTGCTTTTTCATTTGTGTATGCTGAGGCACACTGAGGCAGTCGAGGCTGCTGCTACACTAGTTTTCTTCATCTGCATTTGTTCGTGTGTATGGGATAGGAGGGCCAGGTCATCTGCGAAGTTTAAAGTGTCTCAATGATTCTGAGCTGTCACTTGTGTCCAAAATATTCTTCTATCCATACTATCAAACCCCTTCTCATAGTCAAGGAAGTTGATGTATAGTGACGAGTTACATTCGATTGATTGCTCAACGATGCTCCGTAGTGCCGCAATTTAGTCTTCACACAACCGATGCTTATGGAATCCGACCTGTTGATTTCGAAATTAGGCGCCTACTGCGTCTTTAATCCATTTCAGCGACAGTCTGTTGAAAACTTTTTCAGGAACTGACAGCAGTGTGATGTCTCTGTAGTTCTCACACTTGCTCAGATGTTCTTTGTTTGGTGTCTTGATGGGGCGTCCTTCATTCCAGTCCATCTACACTTGTTCCTCCTCCCAAATCTTCTTGAATAGAACGTGAAGCATGTTTACTATTATTTCAGTATCTGACTTCAGTACTTCGGCTGATATATATTTTCAGGTCCTGCTGCTTTCCCGCTCTTGATCTGCCTGATGACCGTCCTGATCTCTTTGATCGTCGCTGAAGTGACAGCTACAAGAAGGTCTGTGTGTGCGGCTTCAATGTCCAGTGGATTCAGTAGGGCTGGTTCATTCAGAAGTTCCCTAAAGTACTCTGTCCCTCTGTTCCTGAATTTGAGTGATTGGCCTGCCTTCTTAGTCATTGACCGGTCTCTATGGTTTACTATGTTTCCCTGCTAGTTTCCTCGTTGTATCATATAGTTGTTTCATATTTCTCTCTCTTGCAGCTTTTTCCACCATCGTTGCTGGTTCTTCCACGTATATTTACTTGTCGGCTTTAATGCTCTTCTTCACTTGTTTGAATAACTCTTGCTCTTCATCTACCCTCTAGAGTTTAAGTGGCTCGGAATCTGACTTCAGGTAGGTCGTATCTATGATTGTTATCAAAATATACACACAGGTTGCTCTCGCATATAATCATCGGCCTAAGTAACGTTAGTGCATGATGGAATTAAATAAGTCAAATAAGAGAATGGAATTCGAGAACGTATATTTCATACAATGGTTGATTAAAAAGCGAAGCAAATGAAAATGACGTGCAATGGAGGGTAGTGAGCCAGCCCCACTTAACCAAGGGTTAATCGATGATTATAGTAGAACAAAAATAAGTTGCAGAATTGTGATGAGTAAGATAAGAAGTCCACACAAGTATGCTTACATAAAAACAGTCTGGGTTGACAAGTGAATAAGTGACATGACCAAAATTTGATTTAAGGAGATTGAATAGGTTGATCTATCCAGAGAACGGAATAACCTATGTGGGTTCTATATATGTACCAAACTCTATGGTCAATTTTCCTCGATTTTCAAATTTTACCTCAACAAGATATGGGAATAATGAAATGTTACTGATCTGCAAAGAAATTTTTTCTCGGATTAAATGAATCTATATCATAGAAGAGTAGACAGTTTTTGTCGGACGGTTTGCCGAGTGTCATCGATGTCAAGTATGACTGACGATGATTCGTCAGTCGACAAAGTAGCGGGGCAGTAGTAAACGTGCATTCTATATGCATCGTGCTATTTTCTTTACATTTAACCGGAAAGTTTGCATGGCAAGATTTCGTTTATTCCAGATCAAAATAATTTCAAACTCAGATGTCTTTAAATATCCCCAATTCTCACTTTACAAACAATAAATTATTTTGTGTTCGGACGTTTCTCTCCAAAGCTTGAGGTAACCTGACTTGAATCATTCAAATACGTCTCCAGTGTTTATCCAAGACCTCATCTGAGAATACATTCTCATGAGGATTGTGAATCACAAAATATTAAATCTATAAACAAGTCACTTTTAAGATTCTTTCATACATGATGCTGAAGTTCGTACAATGACTTCTGATGTGATTTCAACCTTATCAGTCTGCCAATACAAATTTAAATATCCAATTTCATGCATTCCACCATGTCTATGTGATCCGAATCATTAAACAATTTGTTGAATTGAATTCATTGTAATGTGATAGTATCTCTCAATACAGCTTCATTTGCACCAAACCATGAAAAAAATCACGTCAGATTTAAGACTCTGGTGTTATTTAATATCCAAGAATCGAAGGGTTAGTTACTGGAGAAAAGAGCAGCCTTTGAGAACTAACAAAGAAACGAATATTACACCTTGTTGACATGGGTGTGTATATCACTAACGTGAATGATCGGTGTTGAGTGACTGAGAGTGTACTCGAGTCAGACGGGAATTGTGTGACTAACGAGTTAACATCAGGGTCACACCTCTCAGTTAATACCCAACGTGGATTACTCTTCCGTCGTATTCAGGCATCATGGATGATTTGGTGACCATACAACACAAACGACGTTATTACGGTGATATATTTGTAAGAGTAAGTGCAAGAAATAGAGTGCAACCATTTCTACATGATCCAGTTCATGGCACCCAATTCATCGATGCATGTTGGTTGACCTTAATCTCGACGAGGATCAGTGAACTGTTGAACATTCGGTGACCTGACTACCGAACGATTTGACTGGTGACATTTCACTGACCATACATGAGTTGTCTGAATGAACCCGTGTCAGTTGCATTGAACCAAAGTTACGACAAGATGTACAACCCTTCACTATGAGTGGCCATACATTCGACATATATGACTGAGGAAACTTTAGTGTTAGACAGATCAAAAGTAAGCATCTAAGTCAGATACGATTAATAGTGTCAGGGGTCATAAGTGACTATTAACGAGCCAGCGTTTGGTAGTATGGAAGTAGCTTACGTGTCTCACATTTACCAGTGGCGATGATTATCACGTAGCCTAGGTGTGCGCACAACTACAAGTATGTCAAGTATGTCCCAAATTCTCAGCCTGTTGCACCTCACAACAGTTAATCCATCCCATTTGGTGGCCGTAAACTTTAGAAATTCAGAGGATAAAATCGACTTCCTTCAGGCTTAACATCAAGTGAAAAATGCCTCCCACAATCATGTCCAATGCTTCAACAGAAGACCTAGGTCGGCAGAACAATAGCAGAGTAACCAAAGTGCGGTTCGGTTCCACTTGACCCCAATCATAATCCTATAACACAGGACAACGCTAACAGAGTCACAACAACACGGGAAAAATGCTCTTGTCACTCAATTCTCACAGAAATAGATAAATCCCTCCACCCCACAAACCGTTCACAACATCGCAGTCAGCTACTGACATAGATGAAACACGTGTAAGTAACAAATACCTAGTTACCTACGCAGCGGTGTAGAGGGAGTTGGGAAGGAATTATGAGAGATAAGAAACATGTGGTTTCATCCTTAACTGATGGTAATCCTTCTGTAGCGGTAAATAAATCCTCAAAATCAATAGCTCTGTAAGTCTTCGACATTGGATGCTGACCATATTAGTTTTAATGGACTCATCTATTTGAAGGCGCTTGGTCATGCATTCGCACCAGATCACGAGTGCGAACGCCGTGCTCAACATCCCCTGTAATCACTAGCCAGATTAGATTAGACGATACTCGATATATTGATAGCCTACCAAATATATCTTTTGATTTTACTTGGTGGGTACGATTCGTATTGGAAGGTGTTACTGATCGAAGCGTTGTCGAACTCCAAATACCTGTGGCATTCTTCAGTTACAATTGAAATCTAGCTCCTCCTGACGCCACAGACAAGGAAGTGAATGTCAAAGTAGCATACTATCCAGATGTGATACGGAATCTAAAGTATATCAATGGCCACCCAAAGGTTATAATACCATCAAATACCATGTCGGCTGAGTTTCCGGAGTCTACCTGATGTTCTTCCAGTGTCAAGAGTACCAAGAGCTTCATTGGAAGGACATACCGTTATGAATGTAGCAGAAGTTTTAATAACAATGATTGACTCATGAACTCAACCATTAATTTACTGTAATATCCACAAAATCCCCTTTTGATACTAGTCATCATTTGCTCACCAGTGACTGACTTCAAGAGGTATTTTCTGGAGTTCTAGTGAGAAGTACTGACCAGTAGAGTGCAACCGAATTTGTTGTGAGATACCAAGTCACTGAAGATAATGTTGTACGGTGGCTCAGTTTCGTGGATTGATTAAACTTAGACATTAACACCGTTAGATGCTGTCCGGCTCAGCGGACTAGAAGTTAGGCGCTCGCTCACTAGGGCGATAGGTCCTGGGTTCGAGTCTTGAAAGGCGGGATCGTGAATGTGCACTGCTGAGGAGTCCCACGGTAGGACAAAACGTCGAATATGATTTAACTGGTTCTCTGTGATGTGGTCGGGTGAGATCCATGTAGATTTGTGTGCGAGTATTGTGCCGCTAATAACCAATTTGCTGAATGCACATAGGTTTGTAAATCTCTAACCATTTTTGTTTCTTTGTCATCCCATGATATCTTCATATCTGGTGTTGTCTATTCAGACTTTGGCGTCTAGATCTCCCATTGGGATGGTGAGGTTGGTGATGATATAAAACCATGTAACTATATAATTGACTTCATAAGAAAGAGAAAGCAAAAACAACAAAGCTATTAGTTAAAATGTTTACTCATCTTGTAAAGGTTTGAAACTGTACACACCCAAGAAGGAAACAGTGATGATAATAATAAGAACATGTTATTCTGAAGTACTTCTTTGAAATTTAAAGTTTTATGAAAAATGAAGAAAAATTATAAAAATAATTAAGGCATAAGTAACAGGTAAGGGATGGACACAATCACGTACTCACTGGTGGATATGTGTTAGCAAAACAACACAAAAAAACTGTCTAAGAAAATAAAATCACACACACACACACGAGATACAGTATTTTTATAAAAATTGTTTAGAACGAGATAGAAATTACATACAAATATAGTAGTGATTGTTGATCTCGTGCATATTAGTTGAATAATTATAACAGTTATGTGAAGCAAAAAAACTCCTGAACAACACACGGATAATAATAGTGGCAAAGTTTTTACATGAAATATATCGAAGAAATTATTGCTGTGATGAAGATCAGGGCTGATGGATGAACTAATCAACGGGTGTGGAAAAGTAAAATGCTAATAGGAAAACGATACTGAAGACATAAATAAATACACACAAAGTCTCACAAAAACACACATATCTAGTAGTGTAAATGAATTGCTTACGCAAAAAGTACAACAATAACTATACATAAAAATAAGTTTTTTTAATGACGAAAACGTGAATGACGATGTTTGTTATGATGATTATAACTATGAACAATTACAGATGGCTTCTTGCGAGAGCTAACAGGACGTGGAGACCTCGACAAACGTGGTGACGGCCTACGCGATGACCGACGTGATGATAATGAGGGGGAGGAAGGTGGACGACGTAATGGCCTGATAGATGGTGTAGGCAAAAGAGCGCAAGGATTCGAACGTTGTATGTTGATAGTGACTGGCAGTGGATTAGTAGACGGAAGAGGAGAACGAGTAACACATGAGTTTCGTCTACTTACTGGGTCAGGTAACAAGTGGCGAGCCGAATGGACTGGTTGGTAATTAGTAGGTTTAATTGTATATATTCTTTTACTAGAAGACAAGGAAGTCGTTTTTTCCCGAAACCTGGGTACACTTCTATTACTACTATGACTACTCTTGTAATCATTATTCATGGGTGGAGATGACTTATTGTATACATTTTGTGGTGTAGAGCATCCAGGATGAATAGGAGGTTGTGGAATTAATTTACGATAATCAACATCTTCAGTAGATGATGAGAACCATTGTTGAGTAGAAGGATATAATGACTGGTTGACATTGTTGATAGTGGCATTTGCGATTAAAGGACGAAGATCAATATCACCAACAGAATCTATTGAAGATGTTTCAACAGTCTGATTCTCCATTTTGATATTTTCAGTAGATAATGCTAAGACAAGAAATAATAAAATATAGGGATTTTATGGAATTTTACAAAATAAATATACATGTAACTGTTCTCAATAATTATTAGTTTAATGTAGGAGAGAGTGAACATGTTTAGTATAATTATCCTCGAATTCCCGTAACTATAATTTTTAATACTGAAGTCAAAGATTGGAAGTTATTGAAAAGTTCGTTGAAATACGACTGATTGACAAAACGTTCAACAATAGCATTAAAGGATGAATGACTAAAGTGATTTACTTCAGCTTTAAATATTCCAACAATAACATATTTGACTAAAACAGCATTTAATTGATTCAAGTGATTTCTGGTATCATATAGTGGGATCATAAAGCGAGTAATACTTAAGTTGGGAGAATGGAGGTTGTAAATCAGCTAATGAGATTATAGACATTTGCTTACTCAGGTGACTGAGACAAGGGTTACGCGTATCTAGTCACCACCTACACTAAAGTGCTACCCTGTATGTTGTAAGAGTAGATCAGAAGAGAAATAGACAAGAATGGCAAGACGATTTGTAACAACTCCTGGATTGTGTTTATGCAAACTAATCCCTGTAAAGTTGAGTGGATTTTTATACAAAAAGGGATATAAATCGAACAAAAAGTATGTGACAAGCAATAAAATTATTCAACTTTTAAATGGAAACAAAGTGAGACCTTTCCAAAATTTGGATTCTATCACCGCTTAGTAGAAAAACACTTGTAAAGAAACATGTTAATACCTTCTTCATTAAACTGAACAGGAGTTGGTACGTAAGCGTCTTTCGACAATGAATTAAACAAAGGTGAACATAATTTATCATCTGACGGCAAATGAACTGCGATTTCTTCTGTATTGCTCGGTGTCTCTTGATCGGGATTCAATATTGGCGGTGAGGATGATGATGATAATAACGATGGTAAAGGATGTGAAATATTTTCGACATTTGATGTCACATTGATTGGTCTAGTCAATATAATTAATAATTGATTTTCTACAACGGCATCACATCCAGTTAACTGGAATTTCGATAACAAATCCACCGGTAGTAGTATATCTTTTAAATGAGTATTTCCTATCAATGGATAGAGTAAACAATCATTTATACCCTGAAAACGCGGTTCTAAACTACCACATGCATTGATCTCTTTTAAATGATTAAATATATCTTTATAGATATGAGACATCTGTTTAGTTCTCGGTGTAACACGAAGTGCAAGCAATTCCTAAATGAACAAACCAAAAAATAGAAGAGTTGCAATAAAACAAGCAACAATAATAAAGCAATAAGATGAATAAATGAATGGAGAAAAAACGAGGGGGGGGTTATGAACCCACGACTGTCAGATCTCGAGATGAGTAATTAATTATTTGAACATAAAAATTGGTACGAAGGGGCACGTATATATATATATATATATATATATATATATATATATATATATATATATATGCACCACACAATATAATGAAATTAATTGAATTATCACAATCTTGAGACATCGAATACGGTGGGTTGACATGTTTGACTAATAAATTCGTGATATAGTACAATTATGTCTCGATCCGATTAGTGAATAAGTTCCTCTTATCTGACATGGTCAGCTTCTCAATGAAACTTCGGTAATTACGTTTAGAAATAAGTCACTACAAATGACTAGCCTCATACCAGGATGAAACAATTGCTTTGTGCTTCATAGTTTAAAATAGTTGTCTACCTAAGGTGAGTCCATGATGAATATCAAGAAAAAAAAACATATTCACGCACCTATTACAGTAAGGAAGATAATACAAGATTGAGTCTTTTCTGATAAAATCCATCAAGATAAATGTTCTTGTTTTCTTGCTAAAGTCAAAGGGCACTTTTAACTCACTAGATAGCTTTTTTTCAGTAAGTTTTCCTCTGTTCTTGTAAGAATAATCTGAATGTACAGTTTCATGTAAATTAAGACTAACTGATTGGTAGTTCATACATCCCGGATCAATGCTAATGAACGAATCACTCGAAACATAAGAGTACTAGATAACCGTATTATTCTACTTTTGGGCTCTTTGAAAGTACACATTAATGACCCCAATCAAGGATCCAGTTCAGAACTTTCAGTTTTCGTGTTGACCATTTATATTTTAAACTAAAAGTCGAATGAATTTGCGATTCACTCAAGAGAAAGTTTTTAATGGTCGCACAATAAGGAAAATCAGTAAAAAAAAGAGATTGCCGAATAAACATATCATTTAACTTACTCTAGGATGTGTTGAATCTAACAATGTCTGTCCTAAATAAACTGGTAAACTGATTAAATTCACTCCACGACTAACAACGAGTGATGTTTGTTTACCAATTAATAAAGATTCCCATTGGATCATTTCATTTTTATCATTATTACCAGGATAATTTAATATTTTCGGTTGAATATATCCAAAAGGATAAACATTAATCTCTAAACTGAACATATGTTCACGACCAGAATATTGTGTTGATAATGATAACATTCCAGACCATAATAGGCAAGGTTTTGAATTGAATTTTTCCCGATTCGACAATAAATAACTATTCTCGTAGTTCGTTTGTGAATTGAATGATGATTTATTATGCAAACTAATTTGTTGTGCTGGTGGTAAAGGCAAATCTAACAGACCTGTTGAAACACCACTGGATGGTGGATGATAATTAGGAGAATGAGAAAAGCTATTGAGTGGTTTTGTTGAAATAGAACTATCTTGTGTAGATGGTTCAAATAGAGACTGATCATTTAATCGTTTTAAATTCGATCTAGGAGGAAAACGAAAATCGTAAAATGAATAATTTGAATTTAATTCGATATTTTCTTAAAGTAAATGTGTAGTTAATTCAACGTGAAATGCGCTTTTCCTAATCAAATTCATTTAAATATATGTCTATTTTTTCTCCCACACAGATATCAACAGTATATTTTCACGATAATTAATATCTATTCAGTTGTGTGTTCCCATAGAGATAAGCTTTACTCACTGGATTTAAAATTTACTATACCCATCTCTACGGTTACTGCCGACCTCAAGCCTTGGTGAAGGAGAAAAGTTGAGCATGAGATTAACAAACTCATCCCGTAAACAATAACCTCGTTAAGAAAACGCTAACCTTGGGTAAAATCCAATTTTTGATAAATAATTCAATGTCCAATAACTGGTAGTGAGCAGTTAGAAGTAGTCGAGAAGTTCGTGTATTTTAGTAGTTGTGTAAGTGCTGGCGGTGAGGTGACTGATGGGATCAATATGCTAGTAATGAAAGTCACAGAGGCTGATGTCGATTTGAGGCATCTTTGTGATGTTAATCTGACTGTAAACAGTCGATGGGTTTCCCTCTATACTTGTGAAACCTAGCCTCTCTGAACTGGGGATGTTAAGAGACTTCCTGTGTTTGATTGTTGTTTTTTCTGAAGGATTGCTGACATTATTAAGTGTCAATATCATGTTAGTAACATATAGGTTCGGCAACGTGTTCAGGGATAGAAACGACAATCCGATTGCTGTCACCATCTTGAAACACCAACTTCAGTATCATGGACATTTATTGTGAATATCGTCCCAGCGAATCCAATATCGTGAATGATTTGCCAACAATGAGGTTGGTCAGAAAAAGCGGAGGGGTGGTCAGTGTATGGCATGATTTCATAGTAAGAAAGAATGCTGTGCAGGACTAGGTTTGTTGGTGCTTCACAATTATCTGGATGGGATCCCATAGACGGTGGAACAAAGTGGCTAGAGGTTTTATCAGACACATTTCAGAATAGAAGCCAGCGGTAGTCCTGCTGTAATTTCCTTCTACCTTTTTTATAAAGGTGAGAGGAGCATCTTTAACCGACAGGATTCTTTTTCGTTGTATTTTTATTAACTAAACTGCTTCTCCTCTTATTATCCTTAACATTTTCACTTTTATACACTAATTTCTATTCAGTTATGTTCTGTTCACATTATACCCACCTTTCTATATCACTTCACAAACCCATTTTTTATTGTGTGGCGCAGAGATATTTTACTGCCAATGTGTACCTATACTCATATGCTTGAATAAATAAAAATAAATTAACAGATAAATGAAGAAAAACTTTTAAAATCCTATAAGCATCAACATTCATCAAAAGTTCCCCATGTAAGATTAATTATACACATAGAACACAAGATGATGATAATGATGATAAAGGTATTGTCCTGAGCAAGAATGTAATAAAACTATCAAAATTTAGAATTTACGTAATACGTTGACTCATGTTATTCTATTTACTAAAGCCAACATCCAAATATGATTGGATTAGCACAGTATAGATTTGATTGTTAAACGCTATATATTTCTTTGATGATTTTAATTACTACCTTGAAGAAGTTCAGACAAGTTTGTTGGACGAAACGTTAAAATTATTTTAAATTTCAATCACTAAGATTATTTCAAATATAATGAATGACTTCTCTATACTCGGTGACAAATTTTTGTCAAACTATTCGTCCTAATATTGATGAATATTCGTATAAATACGTTGAAATTGTTTATTGATTACACAAAAGAACAAATCATAATTTTTATTATAATGCTGAGGAGTCCCATAATAGGACGAAACGGCCGTCCAAAGCTTTAAGGTTTTCCATAGTGGTCTAGTTTCAATTGACTCATGATCTCAACTATTAAATTTGTAATATAATCGTTCAGTTTTTTTTAAAACAAATGCTGAAATGTAATGTTGATGATACCCCGGTGAAGAAGATTCTGTTGTATGAAATTTGATAATCCAACTAAATATGATGAATTATATTATGGAAAAAAATACCAATAAATTAATAGCACTATATTAAGTACTAAACCTTCAATGATTATGGGTACATGTGAATATTTGATAATAAAAATATAATGTAGCACACTGTTTTGATTACTGTGCAATGGACCAATGTTATTAGTTTAAGTGATTCAGTATTACGTGTGATATGTTTTAATGTTAGGTCGAATCCAATCAATCAGTGTAAATATTTCAGCTTTATAGGATGTCATTTACGCGTACAAAATAGTTCACTATTAATGCCTCTTACTATGAAATTTGGTCGGCTATGTTTGAATTCCAAAAACAAGAATAAATTCTTTTATGATTGTAAGAATTACTTGTTAAAGATTGTTAACAAGCATGAAATTAAAATCCAAGGTTTTCTGTTAGCTACGTAAAACTACGTAACATATTATAACACGTTGTAATGAATAGAATGACTTAAGAATCAAATTTCAGATCTATAACTACGTAATAGGAGGTGAATAACATCAGTTAATGAATAATGTGATCATCCCATATAGCTATTAACAAAATTTATGAAAAATAGCATTGATCATCGTAAATAAGACTTGGATTCGATTTCATGTACAGATGTGGAATGTCTGTGAGTAGAAGGTTGAGAAGATCGAGATGAGAAGAAGAGAGAAAGGAAGTGAAAACAATCAAGATAACCACGGGAGTGAGAGGACAATGATGCTTGTAAGAGACAATTCAGAGATGTGCAAATGAAGTATTTGATGTATGATTTACATATTTTGGTAAACCACTGTGCGATTGTGCATTAAACAATAAATTGGTGTTCCCCACTTGACTTCGTTTACCACATATGCACTGCTGAAAATGTTTACGGCTAAAATGAAGTAACCATTATTAGTTGTGCTATTTCATTTAAAAATTGTTCTCCAGTTTAAGTTAATTTATAATACAAGGTAAACATGAATCTATTGTTATATGGGGTGATGAAGCACAAATAAATGATTAATACAAGATGTGATCCAACATAGTTCTAGATTAAAAAGTGAATGTGCACAGCGATATTTTTTAACAATGAACCATGAGCATATAAGTTAGGAGAGAGAGAAGATTAGATTTTATCTTTTCAGGAAAAGCAATTAAATTCCCAGGAGAGGGGGTACTAAGAAAGGAAGCCAGCTTGAAAAAGTTTACTTATTATTTAAAGAAATGAATGAATATCAATGAGACAATAGGATACTGTATTGGGATTTGCTTTTAACCACACAATCCTAGAAGCTGAACATAAAACCACTGAACACCGGAAGAAGTTCAGGAAAGGGGAACTCGAAAACATTTGATCAGTACGACATGACTCGGTCATATAGGCGTTGTAACTCAACGTAACCTCTTAGTTTTTCTATAAAATATATTACTTCATTACCAGTCTAAATGTGTTCTTCAAAGGTTATTACAAACATTACTGACTGCCACGAAGGCTCGAGTCAGTACATACAATGATATGACTTTGACGTAAGATTAGGTAGTCATATCATGGTAAGACCACAATATTGGATTACATCGATTATTCCGGTAGCATAGATAGGTGCACCAAGATTGATCCACACCTAAATCCTACAATACAACAACACTTATAATTATTACTTACTTTTTAATGTCACTATGTTAAGTGTCTCTTAAACCTAAAATCCTATAATATTCTGAGAATTTTGGAAGCAAGAGAGCACATCTACTTACTTGATTTTAGGAGTATATTGATCGAACGAACTATGTAGTGGATTTGTTTCTTTTCGTCTTGGATCCATGCATTTTATGACATTCGTCGTATCTTCTAAATAATTTGTTCTTTTTAGTGTGGAATAATCATTAGGAGATAATTTCACTGCTTCTTGAATAAGTAAACTATCTGATGTAGCTACTGATACTTTTGTCTGAAGCGATTCAACAGGGCTTGGGAGAAATGGTGAATCCTAACATATTATTTTGTGAAACAGAATAGGTGAAGAAAAAAAGAAGTGAATATGAATTTTTATTTATTTATCTAAAATTAATCATGAAAAATAAAATACGTCAAAAGTACAGGGGGTACGAGATTGAGCGATTTTAAGGATGACCCCATAAGTTTGAAGTTACTTTTAAACTGATCGGTAGGGAAACTGTATAAGCCCATGATGTTAACAATGAAATCGAAGAAATCTTCATAAGCTCCTACAGTAATAAATCAATCGATCGTAAATCAGCAGTTCCAGTGGGAAGGCGTAACTAGTGGAGCTTAACCATGTCGGATACGAGACAGTTACGCACGACGTATATTTAAAGATGATTGCGCAATATCACACATTTGTTGAAGTTGGACATGTTAACCATTGGGTGTCCGTTAATTACCCTAGAGGTTGGGTGTTCGGGCGCAAGACTGAAGGCTTGTGGCTCCATCCCTTGTGGTGCAGTCGTAGATAAAGACGGTTATGGAGTCCCATCTAAGACGAAATAGCTGTTAAGTGCTTACTAGTTCTTAATAACTGCTTATCTGAGCTCATTCGGTGATATTAATTATGAAATTAAAAAATCTCCATAAACCCCTTTAGTAAGAAATCGAAAGTATTTCGTAACAGAAATAATGTAACCTGTTAAAATTTAGTGGTCTAAAAAAAGGTACTGGTTCTCCAAGACTATCACTTTTTTTGGTAATAATGGAGTAGAAATATCGCTGTATAACATTACTAATCTGAGTGTGCATTTATTTACACCAATATTTTTTTCGAAATCTTTCATATGGCTAAAAGTAATGCTTTTTACAAAGTTCAATATCACCCACAAAATTTTCACTAATAGATCCATTGAGTTACGGGGATGAAATTAAGAGAATCATAGGTGTCATTATACTGATAAGAATTTATGAGTAAAAACTGTCAAATGTTTTAGCACCAGAACTGATTACTGGGAGTCAGATAATTTGGTGCATCGATTATTTTGCTTTGGAATTCTCATCTGTCCATGTGAGTTGGTGCTCCCAAATGCCCTGGTATGGCCGAGGGTGGGGAGTCCCCCTCCCCTCTCTCTCTCGAAACGCTCTTACATGGCCACGCGTATACAGCCAATGCTAGGGAAGTCCTACCTCGCTTCGCGCGGAGGGGGTGTCGTTTAGGAATTTGAAAGGAAGAAAAGCGAATGTCCGACGCTTAAACCGGGTTGGTAGACACGGATAGTCCACCTAGGGGAGTTTCACGACCCAGCAACTTTGAGAACCAAACCCAGAACCCTTGGTCTAATACTTTAAGGTTTACAGTGGTGATCTAGTTAGAATCATTTCGTATTTTCGACTACGAAAACTCTACAATCTCCACAAATCGTCCTATACTAATTAATTATGTATTCATTCCCTCCGGTATAAATAGACAGTTATTTGTAAAGTCAATATTCAATGCAAACCAAACAAATAATAAAAGTGCAGACTACCTTTTCTCCAGAAGATGTACTACTAACACGGGGTTCTGTTTTCACAGACAATGTGGATAGTCCATCACAAACATTAGTGGCACTATTAGAAGGGGATGACATTGATTTTTTTGGCAACTGTTGTTGTAGTTGTTGAGATGATTGTTTCGTAAATGCTTTTGTTTGACTTGTACAACGTTTACAATGCATATCATATAAATGTTTGCCATGTTCACTTGTAGTATCCAATATTGGTAATTCATTTGCTATAGTGGTAGTGTTAGTAATTTCAGTCGATTGACATGTTGTTACTGTTGTGGCTGTATGAAGATCAGAAGATAGAGAGTTATCTGAAGAGGAAATCCCCGTACAGCTAGTCGGAATAGATCCATATACGACATCAGAATGATTTGTATTTATCTAAATATGAGAAAAGTAAGTAACAGTACTTGAAGTGATTGATTGATTGATTGATAAATCAAATTGTACACCTCCAGTTTAAAAAACGAAAACTAAAATCAAGATGAAACAAAATGTTCTGATAAGAAGATAATTAAAATTTGAAAATAAATGGAGACACACTGAAGAAGACAACGATGACAAATTACACTGTCCACAATCTAGCAGAATAGGAAAATAAGTTGTTTACAAATAGTTAAAAGTCACTAGAGAATTCTTGATATGAAATGGAATAAATTGAATGAATTCATTACTGTCTTTTCTGAATACAAATAGCTATCTTCATAAATCCATAAAAAATCCAGTAAATCGATACATCAGTGATATAAACTTATTCTCAGAAATCAAGTATAGTGATTTAAGCAGGACAACATGAAAGAGTTTAGTAGGTAGTTGTTTTGAAAGTAGATCAGTATGTTATGGGCAAAGGTGTAAAAAAGGTCCAAAGGGCTAGAAATAATTGGTTACGTAATCAATAGATGTTGATAATAATAAAATGAGTAAATTTCAATTGTTGAGAAAATTGAAGCTGGACCACCATGGAAAACCTGGAAGCACTGGACGGCCGTTTCGTCCTATTGTGGGACTCTTCGCAGGTGCGCATCCACGGTCCCGCCCCGCGGGATTCGAACCCAGGACCTATCAGTCTCGCGCACGAGCACTCAACCACTAGACCACTGAGCCGGCCGGTATCCAACGGTGTTAATGTCTAACTTCAACTAATCCTTGAAATTGAGCGACACACGCACCATTGTCATCGGTGAGTTACTATCTCACAACTGACCCGGTTGAACTCCACTTGTCACTGCTTCTCACTAGAACTCCAGGATATCCATCTTTAAGCCAGTCACTAATGAGCATATGTTGATTATTATCAGAAAGGGGTTTTGTGGAGATTTTAGTGCTTCCAGATTTTCCATGGTGGTCCAGCTTTAACTGACTCATGATCTCAACAATTGAAGTTACTAAAATCTCTACAAAACCCCCTTCTGATAAAATAAGTAAAGCTCAGTTAACTAAGAAAAAAATTACTAATGTAGAAGACGGTTGAAATAAAAAACGATGTAATTCATTGATAGAGAGAGTTCAGCAAGATTTTCTGATGCAATGAAGGAATATTTGTCACCAAGGGATGGAAAGATTAACAACCATTTCTTTTGAACACATAAATCAGGTTTCTGACGCATGATAACAATGGTTTCAGAAATCTTCAGATGATTGGAGTCCGACTGTGTTATTCATTACTGACAGACTGCAAGGTATCGACTTGATGACCTGTATCCAAGATATGTTTAGTAACTGCTCTGTTTAAAGTGGTTCTCTCTCTTGTTTGAATGATCTTTGAAGCATTTTAAAAAAATCGAATATATCTCATCATTTCTGTTTGGTCAATGTAACTGCTTTAGCAAATACCCGTTAATTTATAAACACAGTTGGCGGCCAAATGTGTTCATAAAATGTGCTTTTATATAAGGTGAATGTTTACAATAATTTATTCAGTCCATTAAATTTATTTATACCTTTGCCTATATTATACTGATATGCCTTCAAAATGATTTTCAACTAAACTCTTTCATGTAAGTTAATTTAAACCCATTTTATAATTAAGTATATAATAAGTATCACAGATTGTGAGCAATTGACAAGAACTAAACGAAATAAATATAAATTTATATTATTCTGTTCAAATATTTGTTCATGCTCTCTGCAAGATAGTAAGGGGAACTACGTGTGAAAATAGCCTCAGAAACCAGAAAATCAATATACTCTATTTACCGACTTATACAGAGAAGATTCACTAGTCATATGACTAGAGGTCAACAAAACAAAACACACAACAGAGAAACAAAAACAAATAAAGTTGATGATGAAAATATCTTCTCATAAAAAAAGACGAGATCAATGTGAACTAAGAGCTGATAGTGATCCTTTATCTCGCAAAATGACAATAAACGCCTTGCAATTTAACCATCCAGTAAAAAACACAACACAATCAAAAGCTATTGTGTAGATTTTTAAGGCTTTTAAAAGTATTTAAAATCCATACTAGAGGCTTACAATTTGTTTAGCCAACAAACGTAATTCTTTCTGATTGAGATCATGAACCGATTGATGTTAGACCACCATTGAAAACCTGGAAGCACTGGACGGCCGTTTCGTCCTATTGTGGGACTCCTCACATTGCGCATCCACGATTCCGCTCGCGGGATTCGAACACATGGCCTTCATTCTCGCGCGTGAACGCTTAACCTACTGGACCACTGAGCCGGCATCCAATGGTGTTAATGTCTGACCTCAACAACTTCACGAAGTTGTGCGACCATCTTCCATTGTACTGAGGTAGATACCTGTCCCTACCCGAGAGGTAGTCTAACATCAATCGGTTCATGATCTCAATCAAAAAATTAACAATCTCTACAACCCATAGACTGAAAACGTAATTGTGTTATTTCTTTCTTTGTTTAAACTTTGATGGTTATGTATAATACAAGTTAAATATAAGGTGAATTTTCAATGAATACCATTTATGAAAAGGAATACTTGTGCATCTTACAAACACTTTTCGGTCACTAAGTAACATATTCTTGCTTTAAGTCTTCATGGAAAACGCTAAGAATTCGCCCAATTCAGTTTATGATAACTGACTTTTATGGTGTTGATTTTTCCTTTAATTCCTATAAACTTCAAGATTATATGCGAAACAGGACAAAAATAAGATAAATTCGGTAATGAAAATATACACTTACATTATATGATGAGACAGATGAAGTGAAAGCCGACAACTTATTATGAGTATTATCTGTTAAACAAGTACGCCTCACTATGGATTCCAATGTTTTTACGTCTTGACAATGTGCCAAATCAATAGGTCTCAATGTACCGCTAATTAGTGAGTCGAAAAATTGATCACGTAACATTACAGATGACTCAGTAGTAGAAGTCGTATTATTAAGAATATTGGATTTCTCTGAAATACAAGGATTATCTAAACAATTAAGAAATAAATGTAGTTGACATTTATATGTTGAATAATCTTGTGTCAGTGGTGAAGATCCATCTAATGTTGTAGAATAGTTAGTTAAGTTATTTCTGGCAGAGATTACACCTTCCAATTCTGTAGCTAAAGTTTTCAATCTAGAACGATTAGCTGTGAAAATATGACGTGAGGTTTGTGTTCTGTTTGAAAATAAAAATAAATGAAATAAAACGACGTAAGTGTAATTATGGAAAATAGAGGGATACTAGACAACAACACATAACAGATGATAAGTATTGTTACGTGAGGTGTCCGAGATTTGATAGTGAAACTCGAGCTCATTACACATGAGACCAACTGGCTACTCCAGTGGAAAAAGAAGTGCATAGACTAGCCGTATCGATTGTATGTGCTCCCATTGAGGAAAACATAAATATATGTTTTGGGAAAAGAAACCATCAGTTGTTTGTATCTCATTCCTTAGAAATGAAAGCCATTTCTTGGTTTATCATGTACACTTATCGCTTAACCGCTTTTTGATTAGTCCAATGTGACAGAAGATTAGTGGAACTAAACGTCAGAATGGAAATAGTTCCACGATACTTATCCATATGATATATCTACCTTAACTATCTGACCAACGATTAAGAACCAGATTTATATACTAGAAAAAAATGTCTCGGTTTACCTTTTTTCAAGTAGTGCAAATAGAAGACATTGATACTTCTTTCGTATACGCTCAACATTCTCAGACGTCAAGAGCCGTTGTTTATTGTTTTTATCGTTTGATTCAGATGATATGGACGAAGGTGAACGGGATGGATCATACTCCGATGAGATTTTATTCACATTTGACGATCCTATCAAAAAGATGTAATGTTAAAAAAGTTGACCAATTAGGTTTGAGATAAATATGCTACTGAATAATTAATAAGTAGCTTGATGGCACCAAACACCAAAATAGTGAACAGCTGATGGTTAACTACGAATTATTAACCGGTACAAAACCAACGAAGTTAAATTCATCATACGCAAAAGTGATTCCATATGACATATATACTCACTCAAGAACCCAAACACAAAAATAACACATTTTTTGATCAAGGAACTAATATATTAATACCAGGACAGTTGAAGTTTAAAGCGCTTAGTAAATTACTACTTGAACTAAACCAATAAACCACAGTGATAGTTGGTATATGCTAGCTGTTTCCACAACCTGTTAGTACCACACAATCAACCATCATCTGAAAGATCCAAGAATATACACAGATTGAGTGTGGTCTTGTTTTATTGACGAGAGTGTGTGAGTGTTCTATGAATGTTGGTTTAAGTCGTATGTGGTACTCATCATGGATTGAACTCGGTTGAGGTACCACTGAAAATACGGAAGGAATAGACATGTTTCTTTCCAGATTGGAACACTGGATTATCGATAGCGAGTAAACTCGCCGGGCATGGAATACAATATCTTCAGGTCTTACAGTGAACCAAATGAAAAATTTAGTTATGTAGGAAGCTGAAAAGTTGTTATGACTGTCATTGAATGATGGTAACAGTGTACTACGACTTGATTCTAGCTTAAAATGTGTACGAGTGGGTTGGCACTCAGTAATCTAGTGATCAAGAAGAGGTCATGAGTTTTGAAGGTCCTGAGTTCGACTATTGCCCGAGTCGTATATGCGAACGGCCGAATACTATGCCAGTACGGAATTAAAATTATATTGCACTATCTCTTTCTTCTACTTCATTGATTAATTATAGATTAACTGTCTTTGTATTGGTTGGTAAATTTTTTATTAGCTCAGTCATATTGAACTGGTCATTATTGGACTTGTATACGCTAAGAATTAATTGGTGTTCCCGAGGTTAACAATTTGAATGTGAGTTTTTTTTCATTTTGACTTTAATTGACTTGAGGGGGATGTGAAACATGTAAATATAACAGAAATATGAAGTGAATGATAACTAAACAAGAATAAACCACTAAATTTAAAGCACAATTTTAATTTCACCAGTATGGTAATCGGTATTGTATCGAAGAAGGGATAATTGTATATGTGCAGATATTATGTGATTGAATAAATATTCAGTATTTAAGAATAATTTACCTTCATTTTGTCCAGAACATTTATTCGATTGATTCAAAGATGAAGTCTTTTGAAATCGATCATTTTTCTGACGACTGTAAACAACCTGTTAGCGTAAAAATAAAATAAAAAAAGAATATGAAATTGATGTTGCTTTTAATAAATTAAATTCAAGCAATCTGATGTAATAAATACTATAAGAATGAACAGAAGTAGATTTAGCACTAGAAGTTTTTCAGTATTAATCAAACATATGAACATACGGTGATTTGTGTACTAGACAATGAACTATTTATCATTTAATATAAGGATGAACTGATTTTAATCACCTGACCCGATTAGGTATCACAATTTAACAAGTAGATTTCAGGCGCCAACAAATCAGTTCAATCTACTTCCAGTTAGGGAATTGAAAAGATGTCAGCATTATCAGCTTTCATAAAATAAAAAATCAATCATATGAATAGTGGTAGAGATAGTGAATGAGGATCACGTTAGAAATAAGAACCAATAAATCTCCATCCAGTGAATGAATATTATCGTGCTTAATATCCTACTTTAGAAATTCAGATCCCAGCTCATGTGATACGAAGGGTGAGAAATTTTAAGGAAACACAGACTAAGAGGAAACAACTCTTCAGTGCGTTTTGGTTTCTAAGAAATTCTCAAATGGTGTCAGTTGGTCATAAAACCCAACTTCAAATTAAACGAGAACTCCACAGAACTGAAATAATTGTGAAAACAAATTGGTCATAGGCAATGGAATAAGTACAGTAGAATAGTAAAAGATCTTGGTATTTGTCTCTTCTTACGCGTACATAATAATTTTGACATTAAAAGACAGACTGAGTATAATAAACATTTCTCCAAAATCTAATCGTATTCCGTAGATTAAGTAGACGAATTAAAAGTATGTTATGTTATAAACAGTAAAACTTACTTGAAACGTGGGATGGGCAGACAAAAAGTCAATCAAAGAATCACTAGTTGGTGCTCTAGTACCATTTAGAACTGTTCCACTCCTACGATCTAAGACAACGAGTGTTTTACGACCATCTAAACGATAATTATGACCCTTAAAAACAAAACAAAAGCAAAGTACAATAAACTTTTATTACTGGGTAAATGATCAAAATGTTAGTATACTACACTCATCAAACAAAACAAATAAAGTAATACAGAACTTAGTAAAATTCTGTATCCGTTCAAATTGCTAGATTTTTCAGTCGTATTACAAAACAAAAGTCAGTACTAAGAAAGAATGTACCATAAGAACCACATGTTTGAACGGATTAACGCTAGAAGTAGAACAATCTGCTCAAGATTTTCAAAGAATAGATGCTTATAAGCAAATGGAATAAATTATTTTCAGATATTAAATGCATTTTTCTACTTATAGTCTTCAGCCGTAAAGAGCTACAAATTCCCAGGAAACTATTTATTTTGTAAATTCGCCACGGCGTTAACTATCCTTCGATTTTTACTGTAGATTAAAGACATTATTTGGGTATTTACTGTGCATTTTGTAGTCTAATATTTCATCCCATTCGGAAGATCTTTGTAAATACAAGTAAACATGTGCTATTTCCGTAAAGACATATTTGATATTTATCTTCCGAATAAGATTTGCTTTTTTGGATGTCATGCCTGGAAAAATAAAAGGCAGCTTGTAGTCTTCATGAGATTCAAATCGAAGCTAGGTGTTTGTACAACATAGTTCAAGGGAAAGATCACAAAGCTACAACATTATCATCCATCACCACAAACGATAAGGAGAAAATGTGGTTAATTATAAAACAGCTTTTTACTGCTCCAATAAGTCCCAATCCTTTACATATCACACTTGCGTGAAAAGAGGATAATAATAAATAACCCGAGGGCAGAGTAGCCGTCACCAGTAAAGTAAAAGGAAAGAAGAAAACTACTGTGACAGACAGTTTATTGAGACGAGGGATTCCGGCGAGAAAACGTGAGAATTTGAGTTATGATATGTGATAGTGGGAGTAAAATATGATTGGTCGTTGAGTGTAGACAAACAGTCACAGTTTACGGACCATTCAATATGTAGTTTCCCTTCCTGTCACTGACTTCAACTCTGGACCAAATGAGTGTGACAACCTGTAATTGCAATGATTAAAGTATTATCTAGTGTTAATCTGGTTCTCTATTTCGGGTCGTGAATCCTAGATCTGATATAACGCGACTAGTCTTATTAAAGTATTATCGTAATATACGTAACAGCGAGGAAAAATATTTTAAACATCGAATCGTAAAACCATTTGTTATGTGAAAAAAACGCGATTCTTATTCATCTCGAACAAATAAATACATGAAAACTAACTAACCGATTTATTTAGAGGATCTGTTGAGTCATATTTTCTGCAAACTGTTTGAAGTACATCGAGTCCGTAAGCTTTCAAACACCTGTTACTACAATAAACACTAACCTGTAAAACATAATGATGAAATGGAATTTAGAGTACTAAAGTTCGCAAAATAAAATAGCAATAACAGAAATCTGAATAACACTTGAAAGTATTCAAACGATAGATGATTAGACGTAGCTGGTAGGAAACGCTGCTCGACCGATGTTTCGTACTAGTTAACACTCGTTACCAAGGCATAAATGAAATCTTAGGGAAACTACTGCTCCATGGTGTATTTGAACTCATCTCATCCAACTTCACAGTCTGAGATATTAGTATTGAGCTATTCAGACAGAAACTGATCTACTCACTGTTGCTTAATCACTGAGTAATAGTCGGTTTCGTGTTCGTATAATGTTTATACCTGATCAGATTTTACCAATCACGTTGCAATATAGTTGACTAGTCTGAGTGACTAAACAGTGTGCAATATGTTTTAATGTTAAGCAGTTGGCTGTACACACTGGATCTAGGTCTTGGTCCACTGAATTCGATCAGCAGTAAAGGAAAAGAAAAATAGGGCACTAGCCACTGATCGGTGAATAATCAATTTGAGTATGCATATACTATTGTCAGTCAGTTAGTTGCAACGTAGAACCATGTACATATGTTCATTGGTTCAAGTCGCCACACATTAGGGTAGGAGAAATGAAATTTTCAAGATGAATCCTAGAGTAGTAGAGATAGCACAGTGTTACTGGTAATATAAAAGATCAGGGATCGAAGATACGATTCAAGAAAATACAAATTAGTGTGATAAAGATATCATCGGTAATCCAAAAGATTAGATATCAGGTGGGGGGGGGGAAGGCAAAGAATGGATACACCTATTTTCTCCTCTTTTGTGGATTTCAGTTATGGAGGAAGATTTGGCAATTAGTTTAGAAATATGAGTTAATATATATTTATTGTAGTTCTACTACTGATACATTTAATTGCACGTAGTTGCATACGTTGTGAATGGGTGGCTTAGTGATCAAGACGTTTGACTTTAAACCACTAAGTTATATGTTCGAATCCTGAACTTATGGATAAAGCTGTTTTATTATTGATACACAAGAATAAACAGGTTGTTTAATTAGGATCTCTTGGCCAACACTGAAAGGTAATTCAACTTGACATAAAATATGTTGGGTCTGGACAACCTAGGATCCAATACCTTACTTAGAATCGGAAGTTCGCAGACCTAGTTGAATGAATAAAAAAGATTGACATCTTGAAAAACATTAAACCAATAGTTTATTGAGAAATTTGTTTCAGATCGTAAATCTTATAGATACTGTGAAAAATACAGATAGTGTCACTAACTAGATACTTTAACTGTGAAACCTGTGTCACAGACTAATTGAATATTGCGAATTGAGCACCAAAACAACTGAAACACAGTCGTAAATAAATGGAAAGAACTTATTGTATGATCTCCTCTTAATAGTTTTAATATTTAAATTATTTTATTGTGAAACATTTAAGAAATAATACAAGGTCGTCACATCCCGGCATCACCATAGTATATAACTGTGCTATGCATTAATGTATTAATTTTAGCATCAAATTATGTGTTAACACCAGTATATGTTGGAGAAGGCAAGTAACTTCAGCTCAAGAGTTTTAAGCTGCACAAAACACCTGTATTGTATATCACATATTTTGAAAAACACTGAAATATTACCGCAATGTATACTCAACGGCAATCACCTTGAAAAGAGACATTGTATTACTACAGGATATTGTGAAGATTATTGAATTTGAAATTTCACATCACGGAGTGATCTCGATTAGGCAATCTAAACCAAGAAGCACTAAATAGCTATTTCACCGTAGTGTGAATCTACACAACAGTATGTACCCACAACCTCACTAGGGACCGAAGCCGAACCCCTAACTCGTATAATAAGAATTTATCATTCAAGTTGAACTGCCATTCAATGTTGTACATTTCCAACTCCAGTCAATTCTCAATATTTCTTGACCAATATATTCAGCGTTTTATTTGTTTTCAATGGTTATCTAATCAGGGTCAGTCAGCACTGTAAGAGAATAAGCGTCAGTCAGACAATTCAAATTGAAGCGTTGAATTATATACATCGACATAGAAAATAACAAAGCCTAATCAATTAAAGATTGAACATTATTAGTCTATGTATGAAAAAAGACTATATAGGTCACAATAACAACTTACTTGAGGATTAATAGTTTTATCACAATTCGGTCCTAAACATGAATTTGTTGAATTCACTTGTTCTTTTATTTCATTTTTTAAAATAATTCGTGGTCGTTTCTTTCGACGTGATAGGACTTTTGTGAAATTAACAGATTGTAAACTATTTGTGTTGTTAACAACACACGAATTGTTTACGCTATACGTATAAAAGAACATGTTTTTTATGTTATTAGTAAGGAGAAAACAAAACAATGCTGTAATATGTAATATCTGGAAAAAAGTGTGCATAGGCTCAAGTTACCACAACATCATATCAGTAAGCTGAGGTGAAATTCGTACCAGACTAAATTGTTGTGACATACGCTTACGAGTTTAAGACATTTTCATTCAGTAACTGTTTCAAAAAGAGAAAGTGGGAGGATGAAATCAAATTTTGACTGGAACGGGAATAATTGTAAAAGAGATACACCAACGCTCAAGGCAAAAGAACCCCCTATATTGTTATAACAAACCAAGATCTATGAATGGTAAGCAACAACATATATAGCCAGATTACACAAATTATTGATTGGTAATAATCAACAACTTAGTCCTTGGTAGTAATCGAATATTACCTATTGAAATGTGGTCTGTTGGCTTAAGTGTTTTTGTTCTGTTACAACCATATTGATTGAGGGTTTCATCACGAGCAAGAACATGACTTTTAGTGGAGCGATGGCATGATGACTAAAAATTTAATTATCAGAAAGTAGGCTGCAGATCTGAATCCAGCCTCATCTACTTCACTTTAGACAGTCAGATAGTACAACCAGCTCTCACATTTTGAAGCTCAGATTTATGTACATGAATCGGTATCTGGTAAATAGGTACTCATCATTTACTGAAAAGTAACGTATGATTGCTGAGTAAGTTGTTTACCATTTTAAGAGTTTACAACATAAATAAGCGATAATAATCAAATAAAACCAACAAATCAATAATCAACTTACGAAGATAATTTATTTTCATTAGTGACCACAGATGATGGAGTTTCTTCTACACTAGTTAAAGTTGAAAATGATTCAGAAACTGAACTATCATCTTCTGAAGGACATTTCATAGCTATATCTGTCTCTGGTAAAATAGTAGCTATTCGATCACGTTCTTTTTCAGCTTCTTCAGTTAAACGTAATCTTAAACTATTTACTATGGTTGCTGTCAATAGATTGGTGGGCGATACAGATGTATCAATGATTGGAGCAAATTGTGTCGACATAAATTCATTACCATTATCAGAACCAGGAAATGTTTGTAGCTGTGATTATTGTATGTGAAAAAAAATGAAATGAAACAAGAGTAAATTAAGTTGCATCATTTTATATATAATTTGTGCTAGCATGATAAAGTGCTGATTTTTACATGCTTCCAGTTGGGACCGATTTAGAACACCCTCATTGGTTCATTCTCAACTAATCAGTACTAGTGGACAAGTAAAGATTTTAGAAAATTTTTACGTAAATTCCATGTGAACTCTTATACGTTTGGCACTGTCTCTTAATTGTTCGTATTTATTCCGATATTTTTGCATGCTCTTAATTCTTATTTGGATAAGTCCGAGTTATATATCGTACGTGGCCACGAAAATACTGGACTATAGAAGACCATAACGATTTAATTTTAAAAAATACTTATGTACATAGACACACAACATGGGATAGAAATGTCACTGAAATTTGTTAACTTACATGGTCAACTTGATCATTTTTGCCTGTGTAAGCACCCATTAATTTACATGAATCACAGACAAATTCGATTTCATTTTTTTCCATACATTTACCTTCTTCTGGTTTAATTCCAACACAATCACCATGATACCATTCATCGCATAGATCACAACATATCATGAATCTAGGATCGGAAGATTTTTTTAGAAAACAAACATACATACCATATATTGTTAAACATTTTGATACTAAGATCTGAAGCAACATGAAGGCTTATGAAAGACGAAATAAGTTTCAGATATTTATCTGAGAGTTTAGTTGAACTAAGAAAGAAAGTGTGAAACAATTGTATCAATCATAATGGATTGATCACTTATGGAATACAAAACGTCTATTACATGGAATCTAGACTATTACATCATGTTACACAAAATAATGTCCATTTTGTAAACGGGAAAACTACACTCTTTGGTGTTCAACACTATATCAGTAGTCGAGAGAAACACAAAAGCTCATAGTCTATTGGAATTTACGTCGACTTATTACAGATAACAACTATAAATATGTCGTTCACAGCCTTCTTGTGGTGGGGGTGTTGTTTACGAAATCGAGAGGACGAAAAGCGAATGTCCGGCGCGTTAATCGGGTTGGTAGACACTGAGAGTTCACCTGGGGGAGTGGGAAAACCCTCATTCCAAACCAGTGGTGCACATGGGCTCCAGTATCCTGAGGAAACAAATGGCGTATGAACCGATTGTTGGTCACCGGCTACCATGGGACTGCGTCTCTTCACGATGCTCCGTTGCCTTGTGGACCGAACTTTTAGGTCGAAGGCTCCGAGTGTGGCCTCCTAAGAAAACTACCTGCTTCGGTTTGGGCACCTGAGCAGTATCCCAACCCTTACACAAATCGAGTGATTTATGTGGCGCATATCTATTTGGTGCATCCTTGTACCAATGTTTATGTGTTTAAATGGATAAATAAATAATAAAGTGATTTGCTAGAGTTAAATCATTTGTTCTCTTCTCTCAACCTTTACAATTATATTTAATATAAGTACAGTAATAGTAAGTATAATGCATTAGAAATTTCCGAATCTACTTCCAGTAGTCATATTACTGCTAAGATCCCACGTAACCTAGTTTCATGAATAAATGTTGGTTGTTTCTTGTAACGATAACTACAAGCTGAATTTTATTAATTCATATTTCTGCATAAACACCGCTATCTTCCGAATGATTCTTCTCACTTTTAGTTTTCTAATTTTTCTGTTTCCCAGTGATATTTTGTTATCATATAAATAGAACTGTGTTATTTTAATTTTTCTGCTTGGATATTATTGATGGTGAGACTCTGGAAGAGGTCGAAACCTTCACGTAACTGGGTAGCATTATCGATGAGCAAGGAGGATCCGATGCAGACGTAAAGGCAAGGATTGTGAAAGCAAAGGCATCATTCCTACAGATGAAGAACATATGGAACTCAAAACAATTGTCAACCAATATCAAAATCAGAATCTTCAATACGAACGTCAAAACAGTTATACTGAAGGGAGGTGAAACTTGGACAGCTGCTACAACCATCATCAAAGAAGTACAGGTATTCGTAAACAATTGTCTACGCAAGATACTGAATGACCGGATACTATCAGTAACAACCTACTACGACAGAGAAAAAATAAGCTTCCAACTGAAAAGGAAATTAGGGAAAGACGAAGTGGATAGGACATACTTTGCAGAAATCATCCGATATTACGAGACAAGCCCTAACCGGGAATCCTGAAGGGAACAGGAAAAGAAGAAGACCAAGTGCCACAATTCATCGGGAGTTGAAGGCAGACATCAAAAGAATAAAAAAGAACTGGAAAGGATTGCCCAGGACAGAGTTCGATGGAGAATGCTGAATGATAACAAGAGTAAGTAAGTAAGCTTCAATATTAAGTCATCATACACTTCGGTATTTTTTCCATGTTGTGGATTATTCTTGAAGTGTAATATGGTTAGTCATTATGTTCCCGAGTTCATTATACAGCATGAACAATAAGTACGCTTGGATTATTTAGAACACTGAGTTCCAACTACATCCAGTGTTGCCAGTATATTACTTACCTTTCATCATGAGGTTGTCGACATATACACCATAATCTTTCAGGGTCATTTTCTTCAGAATCTGAAGAACAATTACTTAAATCTTGTGACTGTTTAGAATGACGAGATTTTGTACGTTTTTTGCGAGCAGAATTGTTTATTTTCACACGTGAAGATGGTTTTTTGATTTGTTTTGTGAGACCACCTAAATTAGTAAGATAAGTGTGCATGAAAAGTAGAAATGTTTTTACCTTTTCTGATAAATCAATATAAAGTAAACAAGAACCAGCAACTACAAAGTTTGTGTGAAAAATTCAATAATACAGTTGTGTATTACAAACGTTCTAGATATGAGTAACTGGAATTTATTACTTTTCTTATATCCTATTTAGCTAAACTAACTATTGGTGAATCAAATGTCTTTTCACTGGTTGATATATATCCTATTTACTCAACCATATTGAACAGATCATTTCTGTGCCTACGAACGTTGAAATTGACTGCTAAGGTTGAGTTCATTACCTTAAGTGTGAGTTTTAATTTAACCTATGATTATCTGTTATGGAATCACTTAGTGATTACATATTTCTTATGTATAAATATTCCCGAGAATCCAAGATAATCTTCTAAATTTCATCTACCTCAGATGCGTTACCCTAGCAAATCTAATGAAACTCTTTACAAAAAAGGACTTATTATCAAATTATTTGTAACTTGTTCAAGATACAACTACCACGAACGACGACCGAATACATTATAAATTTGTAAAATTTAGCCTAACTGTTGTCTTGAACTAATTGTGATAGCTGTAAAAATGTCGGCTGAGGAATGGAATTGGATATAAAAGCATTCATACCGCACTTAAAAGACAGGACAGTGATTTAAGTAAAATAGCTTGTGACAAAACGTTTTTACTAAAGACTGTCTTATTCGTCAGATTACACCGATACCAAAAACTGTCGTAATCATACCTCTGGTTCATGTATGAAATATCAATCAATAAGACATTTCGCACATCTCATTTATTCATAATTTTTACTCGAATACGTTCTTTATGCAATACATCATGAGAGATACACGATATCTGTCCATGTCAATTAGTGATGAACAATGTAGTATCTGACACAAATGTTGGTCCAATTTGTTACATTTTTGTTTTAAGCTGTCAGAATGACAGGAAAGTGATAAGATCGGGAGTAAAAGAGTCAAGACGATAATATAAATAATAATAGAAAGCCAAATAGAGGAAATTGGATTCAAAAAGAAGGAATGGAAACAACCGAAACACTGATCTAATTTAAGCCATATCATACAACATTATTAGCTATAAACTAATATAATCTTGAAGACAACAAATTTGGAATGGCTGGTCTGTGTTCTGTAAAAACAAATGTAATGCTATTACAAACACATATATACTGATTAATCATGTTGTACAATGATTCAATCAACTACTTTGACTAAAATATACAGATTACTATCTAAAGAAGACATAGAAATGTTTTTTTAGGTATTACACGATGTGTAGCTGGTGTTTACTGTGAAACAGCTGAAGAACCACTAATAGAGCTTCAACGACATGCAGCTCTAATGCATGGATTGACTTTGATGACCTGAAAATTTTGGAAGATAGGAATTGATAGATGCAATGATTGTAATAAATGAATTTAAGGTGAATAATCCTTCAAAATATAGTGTCTTTTGACATAGTTTACTTTATTCTTTGAGTATAAAGCAAAGTATCTAAGAAACAAAACAGACGATAAGGTTGGTAGTTCATAAAATAGTGTCTCTCTTATACTCAATAGCCTACATTCAAAATAAGTTTATACTCTATTACATCCAGATTGTAGTTGATAACATTTCTTGAATTATTCAAATGAAACGTTGTCAGTATCTTAACAATCTGGAAGAAGTACTTGCCTAAAACAGTTTTATGACTAACTGACGACAAATAACAACCATACAACGAAACTTCTAGTGAACTTTTGAGCGGTTCTAAACTGTGCTCTTAGAAGAAAATGACTCACCGGGAATTTTAGTTCTCAAACAATATTCTGAAACACCTTCTTCTTCACTTTCACAGCACGATTTTTTATTCTTTTGTTTAGCTTCAATACGAGCTGACTGTCTATAAAGATAAAGCTATAGGTTTACTATTTCATAACTTTTTATGTGTGTAATTATAAATAAAAACATAATCAGTACTATCAATAAATTTCGCATTCAACGATTCTAAAAGCCTTTTTCGTAATATGTCGACTTTATGACGTATGGGTAAGATTATAAAAAAGCACAAGTTTTGATATGAGCAACAACAGGTAAACAGAAACTATAAAATTATCTTCAGTGGTATAGATTAACCTTTTTTGTATAACTTGTACACAAAATATATGAGTACGAGGATAGGAAGGGCAACCATGATGGAGGTATCTGAACTTACATAGCAAAAAGGTTTCGTTGTTTTGGTGTTGTGAAAAATGTTCTGATCCTTCTAAAATGTGATTTACACAAAGTGTTAACGTATTTTAAAAAGAGTACTGTCATCGTAACTTTAAGGATCTTCCCGTTTTGAAAAAATTAGATTTATGTACGTTGTTTTACCGAGCATACTGTAAAACATTTAAAAGCATTCAAATAAATTATCACATCACAAGCCAATAAATGTTAAATTCAATTGTGGGCTGCCGTGATATTTTCAGGTGGATAGAAAAGTTTTAAAGCGAAAACCTGCTATTTTAATCAAAAATATATATGACAAACAAATAAAATATATTCATAAGCAGAGCGATAACGGAACAAGACTTAACCGATAGCTGAAGTCTTAAGTTTAATAGCTATTTAGTAACCTACGTATATCATCGGATAGCGACAAAACATACATTTTGCAACTTATAAACATATTAAATTTGTCTTGTGCTTTGTCACACATCTTTCCTGTTTACAAAAAGAGTGCAACTGTGGGTTTTCACTATTTATTTATTTACTTTGAAGCATACAATAAGTTATGAAACTTCAGATATTGTAATTTCTGCTCATTGGGATATCAAACGTATGTTATTTTATGACGAACTGTAGTTGTGTACTCGATCGCTGAATCATCACAAACACAGTAAAGAAGTGAGAATTATGTCAAATTACAATACGTTTAACGGTGTAAGGAACTATTGGTCGGCCATTTTACATTAATAAATGATAATTGTTTTCAAGAATAGAAATGCTTCTATCTGTAATATTTGTAATGACGGATATGATTGGATAATTACTTGTAAGTTCCAGAAGCAATTGCATAGTCATTAACATACAGAACACGCTGCAGTAGTAGTAAGGTATTTAGCTAACTAGCAGTCCAAACAAAGTTGAAGCAATCAATGGCTATATAAGTAGAATTTTGCCTGATTTCATTTTTTTTTAAATAACTGGTACCATTTACGTATGGAAACGGATTAAGTGGCAAAAATCAGCACAAGATACTCCATTGTGTCGAAACTATATAGTCCTTGAAGCTTATCAAGGTGTATAACATTTCAGTTAGCAACGACCATACACATGCACTAAAAACAAACCAAAATTATATTGATGCTGGTTTAACCATTGACTGTTTAAAGGCGTAAATGTTTAAATTCAGAATAGCAAAACTGTTAGACAAAAACAGCCTGAAGGATTACAACACATGAAAAAGTGTAAACAACACAGCTATCATGGAAATATGGTAATAAATGCTTTACTCAGTATAATCAACTACGCGTGGAATTTCGTTAGCAACTGAATCTTGCTCCGAAAAGACACTTCATGCACTTGACTTTTAGAAGCTTGTGCGAGAACCCATAACACCAACCGAATACCCAGTTACCGACATGGGGGTTGAGTCCAAAAATAAAATACGGAAACCTGTCGTTTCCACCACTACAGAGTGCTTCTAGAAACGCACGCCAAACATGAAGCTTATTATTATCATCAAAAACCAGACTACAACTTTTAAGAAGTCGACCTCCGAAATACAAAGCGGAGCCTCAAGTTACAGAATGGCTTCACTACTAACTTATCGAGCACACCAAGCTATAATTTGAAACATAATATACTACACTAGGAGAAATAAATTAGGGTTTTAGTAAGTCATGCACCATATTTCGTCAAGGGATAATAGCAGCACCCTACAGTTTAAAGGCAGTGAGTTTAACTGCGCTACCACAAATGATTCGTTATTCATGAGACCCAATAAAAATATACACAGAAGCGCAAAGAATAAAACAAAACTGTGTCATTGAAGGATTAGTTACCTTCTCTGGGTAAGGGTTGTATCGTTTTGATTACAGTCCGGAGAACGAGCAGTTGATTCAATGTGTAAAGACTGATCATGAGTTAATAGACAGTAAAGATTATGAGTTTTACCTGTTGACAGCATTGTTTATCTGCCGATCGACAAGAAAAATTGTTTATTCTACAAGCATCATTTTGAAATGAACCGTCATTAATGCGATTATACCCAGGAGTTAAATCTTCTATTACTATACAAATAATTACGGGAGGCATGCTTACTGAATAACTGTGTCGAGGGGTCGTTAGCATCATCAACAAAACTCATTCCTTTAACATCTGAATATTATTTACTAAACAATGATAGCATTGAGGTGACGAAAACGTTTGAATTGCGTGGGATTCAATAAACAAGAACTTTATTAAGAGCTTAGATAAACAGATGCATTTATTTAGCCTCTTTTCTTGTTGTTTCTGTACAGCAAAAGGACGAAAATGATGCCAATTAGTTAACTACACGAATTCTAGTCAGTTTGACAGTGATTTGTTTATATATTTTGTGATGCTATTGTCTCAGATCACTATGGATTCCGGATACCAGGATCTATTACATTATCAGTCAGGAGGTTGGTTTGTGGCATCGAAAATAGTAGTGGAGTAAAAATTCAATTTTAAGAGGTGAAGACTGCTTTAGAAAGTAAATAAATCATATAATTGATTGTCTAAATATTGTGAGTTGACCAAATGTGAGATTGACAGGTAACGGACATGATTAGAAGAGAGACATGAGTAAACTGACAACTTGTGTTATTGATAATGGTAGATAAGCCGCAAGACATGCATTCGGTACATCTAGCCTAACCGGGAGATGATAATCTGTAGATGTGTACGTGTTTATCAAGTCTCCTCTTGAATATACCCAATAAGGAGGCTGTGATCATTTACCTGAGTGAGCACACAACTTTGGTTCGTCGATGTTGAAATTTAAAAGGGTTGCTTGAGTAGCATGATGGTGGTGTCCAGGTTGAGGATTGTACCAAAATGACTCAATGTTGTGGATGCTTATCAGATCACCTTTTATTCCTTCATATCCCAATGTGTTTTTACCCATGTACTCCCTCGAGTGATTGAAAGCCGTCCATTCCCTAACCTTGAACAGCACAGGAAACAGTGTGCCTTGTCCCGTTTCTATCTTTGAAGATTAGAAAACGAGTAGTCTACTTTGTCACACCATACTGACTTTTCTGGAGCAGGAATTTCAGTTCCTTTAATATTTTCCCGGGAGTTAGATGGATGTTCTTTGGAACATTAGTGCAAGAGCGTTCAGCGACAGTAAACTCCTAGGTCAATTTTATGTCAAGACAATGAAAGTTTCTGTCATTTCTAAGCTGATAGTATCTTTGTCGCTAAGCTTTTAAGCCGCAGGGGCCCACAAGCTTGTAGGCTTCTTTTTAAGCACGAAACCATAGAATTATTTCGGAGTTGTTTATAGCTTAGCAGCTAGCTACATCTACACACATCCCTCATAAGCGTAATAATCGTTCATTCTTTGGTCGGATATCCTTATTCATCCTGAACTCTCATCACAAACAGTAAATTTCAAGCACAACGTCAGCCGCAATCAGATCCATAATTGTGAAAGCTTTGGGATCGCAGATGAAATTACCGTGCGTTTAAATGTAATTATTGTTATCAGAAGGAATTTTTCGTGGATGATATGGTGATTTAATAGTTGAGTTCATAACTCAAATAAAGTTAGACCAACATAGAAAACCTGAAAGAATTGGATGGCCGTTTCGTCCTTTTGTGAGACTCCTCCACTGGTCAGTACTTCTCACTAGAACTCCAAAAAATACCTCTTGAAGTCAGTCACTGGTGAGCAAATGATGACTAGTATCAAAAGGGGATTTTGTGGATATTACAGTAAATTAATGGTTGAGTTCATGAGTCAATCATTGTTATTAAAACTTCTGCTACATTCATAACGGTATGTCCTTCCAATGAAGCTCTTGGTACTCTTGACACTGGAAGAACATCAGGTAGACTCCGGAAACTCAGCCGACATGGTATTTGATGGTATTATAACCTTTGGGTGGCCATTGATATACTTTAGATTCCGTATCACATCTGGATAGTATGCTACTTTGACATTCACTTCCTTGTCTGTGGCGTCAGGAGGAGCTAGATTTCAATTGTAACTGAAGAATGCCACAGGTATTTGGAGTTCGACAACGCTTCGATCAGTAACACCTTCCAATACGAATCGTACCCACCAAGTAAAATCAAAAGATATATTTGGTAGGCTATCAATATATCGAGTATCGTCTAATCTAATCTGGCTAGTGATTACAGGGGATGTTGAGCACGGCGTTCGCACTCGTGATCTGGTGCGAATGCATGACCAAGCGCCTTCAAATAGATGAGTCCATTAAAACTAATATGGTCAGCATCCAATGTCGAAGAATTACAGAGCTATTGATTTTGAGGATTTATTTACCGCTACAGAAGGATTACCATCAGTTAAGGATGAAACCACATGTTTCTTATCTCTCATAATTCCTTCCCAACTCCCTCTACACCGCTGCGTAGGTAACTAGGTATTTGTTACTTACACGTGTTTCATCTATGTCAGTAGCTGACTGCGATGTTGTGAACGGTTTGTGGGGTGGAGGGATTTATCTATTTCTGTGAGAATTGAGTGACAAGAGCATTTTTCCCGTGTTGTTGTGACTCTGTTAGCGTTGTCCTGTGTTATAGGATTATGATTGGGGTCAAGTGGAACCGAACCGCACTTTGGTTACTCTGCTATTGTTCTGCCGACCTAGGTCTTCTGTTGAAGCATTGGACATGATTGTGGGAGGCATTTTTCACTTGATGTTAAGCCTGAAGGAAGTCGATTTTATCCTCTGAATTTCTAAAGTTTACGGCCACCAAATGGGATGGATTAACTGTTGTGAGGTGCAACAGGCTGAGAATTTGGGACATACTTGTCTCTGTAGTTGTGCGCACACCTAGGCTACGTGATAATCATCGCCACTGGTAAATGTGAGACACGTAAGCTACTTTCATAATACCAAGCTCTGGCTCGTTGATAGTCACTTATGACTCCTGAAACTATTGATCGTATCTGACTTAGATGCTTACTTTTGATCTGTCTAACACTAAAGTTTCCTCAGTCATATATGTCGAATGTACGGTCACTCATAGTGAAGGGTTGTACATCTTGTCGTAACTTTGGTTCAATGCAACTGACACGGGTTCGTTCAGACAACTCATGTATGGTCAGTGAAATGTCACCAGTCAAATCGTTCGGTAGTCAGGTCACCGAATGTTCAACAGTTCACTGATCCTCGTCGAGATTAAGGTCAACCAACATGCATCGATGAATTGGGTGCCATGAACTGGATCATGTAGAAATGGTTGCACTCTATTTCTTGCACTTACTCTTACAAATATATCACCGTAATAACGTCGTTTGTGTTGTATGGTCACCAAATCATCCATGATGCCTGAATACGACGGAAGAGTAATCCACGTTGGGTATTAACTGAGAGGTGTGACCCTGACGTTAACTCGTTGGTCACACAATTCCCGTCTGACTCGAGTACACTCTCAGTCACTCAACACCGATCATTCACGTTAGTGATATACACACCCATGTCAACAAGGTGTAATATTCGTTTCTTTGTTAGTTCTCAAAGGCTGCTCTTTTCTCCAGTAACTAACCCTTCGATTCTTGGATATTAAATAACACCAGAGTCTTAAATCTGACGTGATTTTTTTCATGGTTTGGTGCAAATGAAGCTGTATTGAGAGATACTATCACATTACAATGAATTCAATTCAACAAATTGTTTAATGATTCGGATCACATAGACATGGTGGAATGCATGAAATTGGATATTTAAATTTGTATTGGCAGACTGATAAGGTTGAAATCACATCAGAAGTCATTGTACGAACTTCAGCATCATGTATGAAAGAATCTTAAAAGTGACTTGTTTATAGATTTAATATTTTGTGATTCACAATCCTCATGAGAATGTATTCTCAGATGAGGTCTTGGATAAACACTGGAGACGTATTTGAATGATTCAAGTCAGGTTACCTCAAGCTTTGGAGAGAAACGTCCGAACACAAAGTAATTTATTGTTTGTAAAGTGAGAATTGGGGATATTTAAAGACATCTGAGTTTGAAATTATTTTGGTCTGGAATAAACGAAATCTTGCCGTGCAAACTTTCTGGTTAGATGTAAAGAAAATAGGTATACCTATGCTATGACCTTTTATGTGAAACTTGAGAAACGTATTTTCAAGTCCACGTTGTTTATTCACATAATCTAACCAGCAATACAAACTAGGCTTTTCGTAATCCTGAACTCAACATCAGCAGACTTTGTAGACAAATGGGTCACATTTATTGAGGTACAAATAGTCGGGTTTTCAGCCTTGAGTTTGTAATTTCTCAAATATCTGTTAAACTGAGACGCTATGAGCCCAATCAACAAGGAATTTTAATGAGAAATGAGATACATGGATATTAATTCTAGTTGTCTCTAGACCTTTTTCAATCCTAAGATCATGACACGTAGACCGGACCAAGTTGAGGCGGTATTCTTGTCAATATTTATTAAATACAAAGACGATGAATGAATAGAAAGCATAAACCTACGGAACTCTCCAACCATCATGAACCAACTGTGCAGTGAAATTCAAATGAGAACAACTTGCAATCTACCACCAAGTTAGATTAGTAACCAATTCGTCGTTCACTCGTACTTCGAGACATTTTCTCCAACACAGGACTTCGCAAAAGGTTGATTAAATGCTTCAAAAGGCTCTAATGATCTTATATTAAGATTCTATTTAAGCTAATCTGATAGCAGTTAGAAATCTTAACAGTCAATATGGAATTAATGCCGATAATAT